CGCTGCTGAAACTGACCAGCAGTGGCTGAATCAGGACGCCTGCGGCAGAGCAGCTGGGGTGCTGCCGGGTTGGTCCAGTAGTGCCCAGAGCGGCGCTACGAGACCAACCGGCAGTGCCCCAGCTGCTGTACCACAGGTGTCCGGAGCAAAGCCGCGGAGCACGGGGGCAGCGGGACAGCCCAGACGCGCCGCGGCTGTCCTGCTGCCCGCGTGCTCCGTGGCTTTGCTCCCCGTCTCCCTGGTCTGCTGGTACTTTAAATTAAAAACAAAAACCAAATCCCCAAACACCTACTCCAAAACTTCCTTCCAGCCAAAAGCCCTTTTTTAAATCACAATTAAGTACAAATGTTTTCAGACAAAGGTAGGTTATGGTTAAAGTTAGAAGAGATTCAAAGTTATGCTTATAATGAAACCAGTTCAAGCCATTACTGTAATCCATAATATAGGCTGCCCACTTAAGACATTGATAAATGTGAGTACTTTTAAGATCAATGGGAAAATTAAAGACCAGGTTTGGCTATTAAAATTTGCGGACACTGGAAAATGTGGATCTCAATGTTTATAATGGCAATGACTTCCATTATATATCCTCCCTCATGCCATCAAGAATTTCCAACAACATTTTTCTACAGTTTTGAATTTATGTGATGAAGCAGATGTTTTTGGAACTCATTATTTACTTCTGACCTATGATCCTGCCTTGATATATCACAGAACTCCAACTGTGTGGAGGGGGGCAGTAATAGAACAACCTGCAAGGACATGTCAATGTGGCAACAGCAGCTCCTTTCATGGATGGGTTTGCTTCAGTACTGTATGATGTGGTCAGTTGCTCTACTCTCTCTGATTGCTGTTGGACCAACATCATTTTGGAGCCACTTAGCTTTCTTCCATCCTTTTTCCCACAAGCCAGAAAGAGGCAGAAGCCTTGAAAATCTGAACCACAGAAAATAGGTGGATGGATGGATGGAAGTGGGGTGAGAAATGGGATACTCCACAAAGCCCTCTTAAACAGAGGGAAACATGGTTTACTGCCTATCTTAGAAAGTGGGTGCAACAAACTAATATCTAGTCATTTGATACTTCTATCATTATCACCACCATCCCCTCACTATATCAAACCCTTCATAAGGAAGATAGCTGGGAAGTTGTGTTGCCTGACTGTAGCCAGACAGGAACCCCTCTGTAACATCCATTTTTGCTTGCTTGGAGCATGCAGGGCACACAGAGCAGTAAAAGCCTTGAACAGAAGGCCTGGATATGCAGGCTGCTGTGACCCTGAATGGCTGTAAACAGAGATACGCCAATTGCTGACCAAAAGGCTGCCGAGGAGTGCCCATGACTGAAACCCATATTGATACAAACACATAGCCGTCCGCGGGGGGGAGGAATCTCTCGCCCAGTAAAAAAATGTGTCCAGTACTCACAATTTAGTTCTCTCTCTTGAAAGTGTAAATTAAGTTGAAACTTGCTTGTAAGAACTGGCGTCACAAAGACAGACCAGTACAATTTGGCATCTTAGATAAGAAAGAGGATACGGTCCCCTATGGGTATAAAGATGGGTCCTGCAGTACATTTACTCTGAGTGTCAATCTATCATCTATCTCCCATGGTCAGGTAAGGTGTTTGACCTCCCAAGGTTCCATGGGGACGCCCAACTCGTATTCGTCTTTCCTAGGAATTGAGGGACCGGCCCTGGCTTGACCCGCTGGAGTCGAGAGGCACAGCAAGGGGGTAAAAATTGTACCTGGATGCGGTCCTTTGTCTTAAGTGTACACATGGACTTAGCGGCGAGGAGTCCTGTGGCACCTTATAGGCTAACTGAAGTGTAGGAGCATAAGGTTTCGTGGGCAAAGACCCACTTCATCAGATGCATGGACTTAGAGCTCTTTAAAGATTAAGCGGTCACTTGGTACCATTATTTCTATTTTCTATCTTTATTTTCTTTGTAAGCATTTTTAAGATCTATATTTGCTAGCAGTTAAGAAATAGAGCAATAGCCATTGTAACCATATGATTTATAAGCCTTTTTAATAAACCTGTAACTGTTTAAGCTTTAACCTGACTCCTTCAGTTGCTGTAACAGAACCAAGCACAATTTAAAAGAACTTCAGCCGGTCATAAGGGACAGGTATAAGAAGAGTTTGGGCATTTTGAATCGTGTCACTCCGAGGTGACAGATCCGTTGGGGCATCTCTCAGTCTTCCCTAGACTGCCCGCTGCGAAGGGATCCTGTATCCTAGCAGCTGAAATCTGAGATGTAATAAGCTCTTCCTATAAACTCTGGGGCGTCTGTCAGCCTGTTGGCTGCCCTCCGCGACGGGACCCCGGTCCTAGCAGTAAAGTCACACTCGGTCTGACACCCTGACCGGCAGCTGACACTGACTCCATTCAAAATATTCCCAATATTCTTCATGAAAGTAATGGACAAAGTCCCATAAGCACCATTGTGGGAAGTGGCATATGAAAACACAAGTGTAAAAGACTTAAAGAGCAAGCTGCGGTCTGAACAGATTTTCATGGAGTAGCAGTTGTTTTGGGGTGGAACCTGAAATTTCGTTGCATCCAGTCCCCTCACACCTCCATCTTCACATTCATCTTAATTTTCTTCATTTTGAAACTTGGCATGTATTAGAAACACATTACAAATACTGTTGATCTTAGCATCTGATAATATATAGTCAGATTCAAAGGTTGTGTCTAATAAGGATAATGTAAATACCTTTTTAAGAAGTCTCACCTCATCACCTCTTGTTCTAGTTAGATTCCCCGAAGAATCTTCAAGTTGTGGCTGAATGATAGCATGTTCTGGTATGCTGTTTGTTTTTAAAAAACATTTAAAAAAATGAATTCATGCAATACACAACATAAGCTGCTCTCTCTGATTTCTAGTTTGTCTATTTATGAATGTATTCTGACAAGAACAACAATATTCAAGCAAAAAACGTAAACAACAAATGGTCCTGCAGCACCTTAGAGACTAACAAAAAATGTAGATGGGAACATGAGCTTTCATGGGCACAACCCACTTCTTCACAAATAGATAGCAGAGAAAGATAGGTACTCACTAATGGATCTAAAAAGTGACTATTCTATTACAAAGCAATTTAAAAAAAAACCAGCTTGAGAGAGACGCTGTGGAACTTGCTTTCATTTACAAATTTGACACCTGTAATCAAGGTTTGGACAAAGACCTGAACTGGAGGGGCTGCTACATTCCACATCCTAATGACATCAAAAGCTAAGTACAGGCAGTCCCCGAGTTACGCGGATCCGACTTATGGCGGATCCGCAGTTACAAACGGGGCCCGTCTCCCTGGTCTCCAGCAGACCAGGGAGAGGGGGAGCACAGCAGAGCAAAGCCGCGGAACACGCGGGCAGCGGACAGCCCAGACGCGTCTGGGCTGTCCGCTGCCCGCGTGCTCTGCCGCTTTGCTTCCTCTCCCTGGTCTGCAGACCAGGGAGAGGGGGAGCACAGCAGAGCAAAGCCGCGGAACACGCGGGCAGCGGACAGCCCAGACGCGTCTGGGCTGTCCGCTGCCCGCGTGCTCTGCCGCTTTGCTTCCTCTCCCTGGTCTGCAGACCAGGGAGAGGGGGAGCACAGCAGAGCAAAGCCGCGGAACACGCGGGCAGCGGACAGCCCAGACGCGTCTGGGCTGTCCGCTGCCCGCGTGCTCTGCCGCTTTGCTTCCTCTCCCTGGTCTGCAGACCAGGGAGAGGGGGAGCACAGCAGAGCAAAGCCGCGGAACACGCGGGCAGCGGACAGCCCAGACGCGTCTGGGCTGTCCGCTGCCCGCGTGCTCTGCCGCTTTGCTTCCTCTCCCTGGTCTGCAGACCAGGGAGAGGGGGAGCACAGCAGAGCAAAGCCGCGGAACACGCGGGCAGCGGACAGCCCAGACGCGTCTGGGCTGTCCGCTGCCCGCGTGCTCTGCCGCTTTGCTTCCTCTCCCTGGTCTGCTGGAGACCAGGGAGACGGGCCCCGTTTGTAACTGCGGATCCGCCATAAGTCGGATCCGCGTAACTCGGGGACTGCCTGTACTGGGAATTACAACCCACTCTATTGGCCTCATTTAGCAGGGACACTCTGACAGACAAGGTTTTTTTCCCTTCTCCTCTCCCCTCTTTTTCTGCTTTTTATTAGAATCCCTGTGCCTCTTGTTCCATATTTATTATCTGGAAAAGCGGGTTGTGCCCACAAAAATTCATGATACTATCTATATATATTTTTGTTAGTCTCTAAGGTGCCACAGGACTACTCATTTTTAAAGTTATAGACTACATGGCTGCCCCTCTGAGACACTTTTTATCAGGTAGCTATCCAACCAGGCATTCAGAATTAACTCATTAATATATAGGTGCAACAGTAACATTTAAGTCTGACAAACAATAAGCCATCATTTTATATAATTTTTTTAATGTTTTTGCAAAGGCAAAGTAAAATAAAATGTTAAATAGTTAACTAAAAGCAATATTGTCATCTTGAAAATTGTATTTGTCTAGGACTGTTGAATTGACTACAAGCAACATCTAAAATAGAGAGCAAGTTTCCCTCTCCCTGCTCCATTATTTTCTGCATTATACAGAAGGTGTGCAGTCATTTTTACCATTTGCTTGTGTAGGCAGTCACTCAGTAAAATGGAAAACAACTGATAAGATTTATACAGACAGAAAAAAAAATCAGGATATGTTGTTTGCAGGGTTGTCTATCAAAAGAACAAATCTAAATAAACTGAAAAATATCAAATTTCCATTCACCTTTTATCAGGCATGGTATATTGCTGAAGGTCTGCTAAAGCCTAATTTTTTGCCCATAACCCACCTGACCTTGAGAGAGTCCAGTCATTTTATGACCCAACCCCAACTATTTTCCTCAAACCTGCTACTGCCTGCTACCGATGGAGTGAGCTCTCCTGCTCCTACTCACAGAGTCAGCATGGTGGCAGCTCAATGTGATGGTGACTGTGTGTATTGCTCCTGTCATTCACCACCCCCAACTGCACTATATGTGCTATAGAGTGAGACCTTGCCTACAAGAGCAAGTAAGTCAACCTAAGTTATGCTACTCCAACTATGTAAATGACATACCTGGAGTCGACATTGGTTAGATCAACTTAACACAGTGTCTACACCACTCTGCATTGATGGGTAATGATCTCCCATCAACTTATCTTACTCCTCTTGTTCCAGTGGAGTACTGAAGTTTACTGGATACCTCAGATTCTGCATCAATCGCAGAAGCTTCGATCTTCAGGAAGTGTACATATAGACTGAGGTTCGCAACACCTCAGCACATTCACTTCACAGCATGCATAATGCAGCTAGATGGCAGCAGACAATGGGAGAGAGGCACGCTGCCTTCACTGCAATGATTGCACAGCAGGACGAGGAGAGTCAACTTAACCCACCAGTTTTCCTACCCAATCTAGACCTAGCACTTTCACTCAGGTTCCATCAGATTCAGGTCAGGTTGTGGATCTCTATACACCATGTATTTGTGATGAATTTTCTAGTTTTCAAAATACAGTACCCATCCTCATGGTATTAACTGAAGATTAACAAGATTTCCAGCTCTGAACAATCTCTAGTTCTTACGTTTTACTCCCACGAACAGGTGATTCTTCAAGAATGGGCATCTGATTTGTTGATCCACACTTTTGAGGGGTGCTTGTATTAACATTTTGGGTATCAGAGCCTATTCTTTGACTAACATCTGAAGGTGGTGATACGAAGTTAGTTGCTGGCATATTAGATGCATGCTCTTTACTCCCATTACATTGCTGGCTGAGTGTCTGCACATCATTTCCAAGAGTGTCTATACCTATGTTTAACTCTCCCAACTTTTGGATAGACCTGCACAAAGGTGATAAGAACAGACAATAAAAGTTTTTAAAAACCACCAGTTTATAATATGGCAACTTGAAAAAGTTTTAAAAAGTGAAGTTGTACCCATGTTGCCCAGTGGCATGATAAGTATAATAATTAATCTATGAAAAGTATGAAGATTATATTTAATTATAATGGTGTTTGACCCAAAGGCTTTTAGTAGCCCATTTGCTTAAGGAGTGACAATAATTTGACATACAGGCAGTCCCCGGGTTACGTACAAGATAGGGACTGTAGGTTTGTTCTTAAGTTGAATCTGTATGTAAGTCGGAACTGGCGTCCAGATTCAGCCGCTGCTGAAACTGATCAGCTTCAACAGTGGCTGAATCTGGGCGCCAGTTCTGACTTACATACAAATTCAACTTAAGAACCCCAGGCATCCCCAAGTCAGCTGCTGCTGAAAGAGAAAGAATAAGTTCGTTTTACAGCCTTAGCTGGGACCCAGATGGCTTTTAGCTCAACAGTAAAGGCTCATGCACTAAGCTCCAGAGGTCTCAGGTTCAGTTCTGCCTGTCAGTGTTACACCAGTGCTTAACACAGCACTCCTGCTGAGACCTCACTGGTGTTGCATGTAGTGGGACAGTTACCCCTCATGTCTTACACATGACTGTCTTGTTAACACATCCCCGAATGATTTTCGCTTGTTTCAAAACTACAGCACATTGTTGGCTCCTGTTCCATTGTGACCCATTGTCATGACTGTTCAGCCACTACTCCCCGTCTTGTAGTTGTATGTTTGATTTTTCCATCGTAAGTGTAGTACTTTGCATTTGTCGTTCTTGTATTTCATCATGTTGATTTGAGACCAATTCTCCAGTTTGTCAAGGCCATTTAAAATTCTAATTCTGTCCAAGTGCTTGCAACCCTTTCCCGCATGGTGACCGGACAAACCCCTGTGGATCCCCACCTGATGCATCCTACCAGTCTGAGAGCAAACCATTGATTACAGCCCTGCGGGTTTGCTCGCGGTGTCCCTGGTCTGCTGGAGACGGTCCCCAGCAGACCAGGGGCACCGGGAGCAGCTTTTCTCGCCCCGGAGCTCAAGGTGGCTGACCGCTGCCTGTGAGCTCCGGGGCGAGAAAGCCCCGTTTGTAAGTCGGGGACTGCCTGTACTTTCCCCACCCTGTCAACATGAAAGACAAAGTATTATCATATGAACAAATTGACAAGATGTCAAAGTAAAACAAGTTTCCTCTAATTTAATATCTTTCCATCATAAAATAATCACAAAAATACTCCTTTACACTTTGTTACCAAAGTGACAACCTAGCATCACTTCAATGAGAGAACTGTAGAAAATAACCATGATCGCTAGCTCAAACATGGAACACTTTATTTTAGGTTATATATTTTACTACATAGCTGAAATAATGACATTTTGGGGATTTCAAGCTCATGAGATTTCTAGTATGAATCTATTATGTGACAAAGTCAGACCAGACACAGCAGGAAGAGATTGGTCCTGCTGGGATCTAGAAAGTGGGTGGGAACATGCCCACCCATAGCTAAAGACCCCTACCCCAACATAAGGTGAGCAGCCACTGAGTCTGGGACTCAAATACAGGGGACAACAGAAGAAAAAACAAGCGTGAGGACAAAGTTAAAAGCCTGAAGGGGACGCCAAGCAGAGAACCCTGGACAATGCCCACAGCTCCTCAAAGGTGTCATGAGAGTCAGTGAATGCAGCTCAAAAGAACTCTGGCAGGATAAGTGAACAGAAATAGTTCACAATCACAGAGCTCCCCCTCAGCCAACATCCTCTCCCTGCTGTTATAGGTGACTGGTCTGGCCATTGGTAGGAGGATGCTGACAGAAGGGACTTTGCTCAGCCCTAGAATGGCAGCGGTCCTTCTTCCCCTCCCCACATGAGCTGAAAAGAGATTCTCTCAAGTTTATGAGGGATATCTGAGCCCAAATAAGGGCTACCCGTGACCTTTAAAATACCATCCTCCTAGGGGAAAAGACTTCTCGAGTGGAAGGCTGCATTCCTCTCTATAGGGGAAGCAACTATGCATATATTGGCATCTAGACCGCAAGCATAATGACGTAACACGCCAGAGATAGGCTAATGAAAAAAAGTATTCCCTCTTTTATATTAAAACAAGTAGACCCATGGCGCCTTAAAAACTAACAGATTATTTGGGCATAAGTTTTCATGGGTCAAAATCACTGTCAGATACATGGGCTCAAACTGGTTTTGACCCACAAAAGCTTATGCCCAAATACATCTGTTAATCTTTAAGGTGCCTCAGGTCTCCACCTTATAGATACAGACTAACATGGCTACCTCTCTGACATTTGTATGTTATTACCTTGTTTCTTTGACTGAAACGTACTCCTTAAGCCTACCAAGAAATCTACCTTGTAAATACCCTGAGTGAGGAACAAAAACTCTCCAGAACGAGACAGATTTACTCCAGGTCCCCACAGCCAGAAGGGGAAATGCTGTGAAATGCTGTGCCCAGAGAGATGAAGGAGGTGCTTTTCCACAACTGTTTTATACCAGACTTGTGTGTTTGATAACAGTTCATACATGGGGTAGATTATTTAGCATAGACCTAACAAACATTAAGAGGTTGTTTTTCTATTAAAAAAAAGAGTTAAAATCTGTCTATTTAGATGTGTAGATTTCTGAATATTGGGCTGTAACTAGACTTATGCATAGGCTTTCCATTAATATCAAAAGCAATCCTGCATAAAAAGACACAAAATACTAGATCTGAGCAATAATGCTTCAACTAATTTGATGAATTTTGCTTCTGAACTCACTTGCTACCAGAGTTTAAATAGTATTCATGCATTCCTTCAAATAAGTCTTGGTTTTAAGAACTAATGAGAATAAAGAATTCCATTTATAAATGTGATGTTCCCTATTATCCTGTGAGTTTTAAAAGAGTTTATTTTACATGGCCAGAAAAATATATCCGTAAGAATTTCACTCTTCTCCCAGAGGGGCTAAAAATTAAAGCAGACATGAGACATTTTAACATGAAGAGCCTGATTTAAAAATAAATACTTTCCATATAACAATCACAGCCAATTAATATTTCAAGAATGTTTATAGAATATTTGCCTGATGACCATCTTTAGGCCTAATTTAAAATTCCCAAATGCTTATTATCAGTAGTTTAAATTACTATTTTTAAAATTATTTGGTTCTATAATTGTATTCCTTATATTGAATAATCGTTGAATTAGGTCAAGTCATTTAGGGCAAAGCAAGGTGGGTTTACACAACAGAACTGGGTACAGCAGACTTGGTAAAATACACCACAAGGAGGTAAAAATTTTTTACCTCTGAAGAATTCAGTACAAAAATGGCTGTACAATTAGTGCCCTTAAAGATTTCCTTAAATATATCCAGTTTTTCAGCATCCAGGTCTAAAACTTAGCACCTAGATCCATGTTTAAACTTTACATTCTTGGATTTAAGTTTGCTCATGTGCTTTGCTAGAAAGTCAAATTATAAACTGTAGTAATCAGACATCAAAAAGTTACGTACAAAGTGCTAAGATTTTCTTTGCAAAATTTGGTCTATTTACTCAAATTTTGAGCAGATAGAGGTTACGGTATTTTGAGGAGAGATTTGTAGCATTAGAATGACAACCGTCATCTTTAGACAAAATTACCTAAACTAACCCATCTTTTTAATTGCTGCTTGGTTTAAATTAAGTTCATTATATTACTAAACATAGGAAAAATGACAAGTAAGCCAGTTGCCTATTTCATCTTCCAATTAAGTTAACTACTAAAGCAGATTTGCTCATTTAGAAATTAGTCAGCTTTCCTCATGATTTTCATATCAATACCCCAAACCTTAGAAACAAATTGTGTAAGTATAAGCTAATATGGAGAAAAGCTCTCCCAATTACAGGGTTATCTTAGTAGAAAATGTTTAAAGTGAGACCACAAACAACTTCAAATAGCTGCATATAAATTCATTACTATTTCACTAAATTGTTCAGTGAGTTATTTTTCATTCCTATTGATGACAGAAGAGTTTGAAAAAAATATTCTGGCAAGCTCAATTTCAGCCCAGAAAGTTATATTTGAGTATATCTGATAAAAAATGAATTCCTTATTTGGCATTCTGAATATCTAAGCAATGTTAAAATAGAAGATTACAATACAGGGGATAATTTATTACAGAAGAGCATAAGATGACATGTCAATGCACGAGCGAACTAAAGCCAACCTGTTGAGAAACTGTTCAGTAAGATTTTGTTGCTGGTCTGTCCCATCTTCCTGGTTTACTCCTCCTTCAAGCAACATTTGCTGATATAGTTGTCGTTGCTGCTCTTTCTGTTCCAAATGCTGCTGGTAACGCAATCTTTGTCTATAATATTCTTGAAACTGCTCCGTTGAATCACGAAGCTTAAAAAAGTAAGGGTTATTTGGGTTAGACACAATTAGGCTTAAAATAATTAGAATTTTAATGTCTGTGAAGGTCCTTTACACACAAATTAACAATTGTTATCAATAATAATATTTACAGATAAGCAAAGTAAGAAAATGCTCTTTGAGAGCAAAGTGTGATTTAAGGATATTTGCTCAGTATATTTTGATATGCAATGTTGACAGTTTGTGCTTTAATGGTTAATATTAAGGTTTAACTTTTTGAACCTGGCTTTATGAAACTGAAGAATGGAAGTGGCTTTGTCACAATAGTAAGCAAGTAAGACTGAATACACATAATACATTTATCTGCTGCTTAAAGATGCCATTTCTGCAGTTTTCAGAGCTATTTTTTACATTAGTAATGCAAGCACAAAGCTATAGCAATCCTACGGGACAAAATTTAAACACTGGAATACCAAAAGTTAAGGTAAAATAATTAGCAGTAGAGAAAAAAGATTTTTCTCCTTTTCAGAAACATTGCAAGTTGGCCTTCTTTTGTCAACTCATATGTATACTGCCCAAAACCCAAAGCAAAAACACCCCTATAACTCTTAATGTTGTAAATTAGAACAAGCTGTCGGTGCACAACTAGACAAGCTTGTGGATCTTCTATTGATGCATGATACTAATTGCACAAGGTACAGATTCTTGTTTCTACTGTAACATAAAATTAACCGTGCTGGAGCAGCCTCTGTCCATGGGGCGCTCGGATCGCCCCACCACAGACAGGGACTGCTGCCGCAGAGCAGCCTCTGTCCATGGCGAACCCCAGGCCCCCACATACAGGGGCTGCTACTGCCCTGCGCTGCTGCCTCTGTATCATAAAGGCAGCAGTGCAGGGCAGCAGATGGAGCCGGTCTGTGCTGGAAGCCATTTTTTAAAGCAGCTCCCCATGCAGACTGGCTCCTACCTGCCGCCCTGCTCTGCTGCTAGATAGAGAGAGGCAGCATTGCAGGACGGCAGAGGGCTCCCCCCCAGGAGTGAAGCCAGGAGCACACTGGCTGCTGGCCCCAACCTCCGGGGACAATCTAACAGTCCTGTAACCAATAATATTAAATGCGTTTACATGACTATTCAATTACATGCTATTTAACAACCCTAATTCTTGTATGCAATAATGCAGGGTGTTATCACAAGTCTACAGACAGCTTAAAATAAAAGCTTTGAAAGATGTGAACTATCCCCACTCACCTCATTAAGAGGTTAACTGTGATGCATGAGTTAAGTACAAATGGAAACAATGTTGTCTATTACCACTTGGCCTAGTTACCTTTTCTGGACTGAGACCAGTCAACTGTGATTTTTATTCAACTGCTGAATCCCATGTGCTTCTACCTCTCTCGGTGTGAACAGAAGCCAATCACTGTTCTGAGCTTTGGGTCTTTCAGGCACATTTATATATACAGACCTCATTTCTGGCATCCTTCTTGAGCAGTGGGACCCTGCAATCTGGCTGTCTAGACCCAATACTACAGCTTTCCTGAGCCCCCATTTGTTAAGAGATTTCTCCAGAGTTCACTGAGTTATGAACTGTGATTTCTTGAGTAACTGCCTCAGGGAAACATGGAAAAGTTAGGAACACAGGCTTAACAAATGAATTCCTTAATCATAAATGCTATATTTCTTTAAAAAAAAAAACGAGAAGTTTTCCATAGATCTTTAACAGTTCTCAGCATAACCTTCCCTTCTGATTTCACCATACCAGCAAGTCCTGGTTTTGATTTACATCTTTTCATGAGGCAGAGTTTCTTCTGCTTGTTTTGCTTACACGGGAAGTGCCCCTTGCTGAGAAAAATTTAAAGACTCTCTCCCTATGCCCAGTTCCAGCCCTCTTCTACATCACTGGCCCCTAATAGCTTAGTCTTCAGTGAAGTGTTTCACACCCTAGCATGTGAACATGTCTCAAATAGATTGATCTTGTCAAGATCAGAATGGCTTTCAACACTATCTGATTATACATGCAATGTTGAGGTTACAACAGAGTTAAAAGTCAGAATGAAAGTTACAATCACCACATGGTGTTCTGAGAACAAGAGTGTGTTCACAATTTGACCCAGCCCCATCCCCACACTGTCACTATCTCAAAACCAATAATTTTAGCACAAATATCCAGCTCACTTGTTGAATAAAGAGGCAAATATTTGGGTGGTGGAAAGTGAAGGTAACTCTGTGAGCCTTAATGGGTGAGGCTTAACAGTTCTGATTAACCAGCCCTCTAGCTGGAGCAGAACCTGTCCACTGGGGGATGGAGAGGGAGGTCACGCTAGCCTGGTCCCTCCGCCAAACTCTTTTTACAGCGGTTAACTAATTAAACATTATGTTTAACCAGTTAACCATTTAAACAGGATTTTACATCCCTACTGTTTTCAGTAGGAAGCAGTGAAGCCAACAACTGACAACTCACTCAGCTGCTGCTTAGAGAAGTCTTGGTAGAAGGCCCATGAACATCCCTGGTGATCTTGCACATTTAAGTTCTGACTGATAAGATTTTCAAGCCCTACAATACTTCTTGAAAGTTAACTGAAACAAAAAAGTTGGATAACTTAAATCTGATTTACTTCCCAATGAACACAGTTAACAAGACTTCTGTCATTCATAGTGAGTATATCTTTATATTCTGAATTGGATAGTGCACTCAATAGGTGTACTTAAATTTTTCTTAGTTGTCACAGGCAGGACTTATACAAAATGTTACACTATATCCCACAAACAACTACCTGCAGGTAAATCCTATGAAGGATTTACTAAGCTAAAAAATGTTACAAAAATGATTCATTCTTAGATCAACATATTCTAACAATTATGCTAGCTTTGTATAACTGCACACTGTCTTTAATTATGCAGCAGTTTTTGTTACATGCAAGTTAAGAGCACATTCACCTGCTGCATCATCCAGTTGTACGATACCAAAAGTTTATCTAACAGAAAGGTAATTAGATATAACTTACGTTGAAAATATATCACTTAGAGCAAAACAAGATTCAAAAGCATATATATCACATAAATGGATGAAGTTCTCAACATACATTACATAACAATTTTCATGCTTATCAGAGTAGGCAGCTCAAAAGGACTTCTTATATGGAAACTAGGGGGCTGCACCCTCTGCTTGCTACGCTCACCAACCCTCCTCTCTCTGGTGGCTTTCGTGGCCAGAGAGCATGAAAGCTACGCTTGCCAACCCCTGTCTCTCTGGCGGCTGCACTCTCTGCTCACTACACTCGCCAACTCCCCTCTTTCTAGCAGCTTTTGCAGCCAGAGAGCGTGAGAGAGAGAGTGCGAGAGAGAAAGAATAAAATGTTACCTCATTTTTTTCTGTCTTGGCTGGTCCTGAATTCTGCGCTCCATTTACTGACTCATTTTCTGGAACTGAATTCTGGCACACAGCCTCACTGCCAATGGAATGCTGTGGCTCCACAGGAGTATCGCTTCTTTCAATGATATGGAAAACAGAAGAAGTTTGAGAAATCTGAATAACTGAAAATCTTCTAAAAAGTAAAAAAATATTTACAGAATAAATTCTGAAATGACTATGTACAAAGCACCCCATTATATGAAGCCCAAAGATACAGCAAAATATCTCATTTTAACCTATTACACTAACAATTGCAAAACCTAAAAACAGAGATAAAATGCTTTGCACTCAGATTTTTCCAAAAAGCCTTATATCTTGGAAGTCCCATTATGCTTCTATTTTTATGTCTTCGATGGAAGGTTGTCCATTCCTTCAACAATCTAAGGGTATGTCTACACTACCCCGCTAGTTCGAACTAGCGGGGTAGTGTAGACATACCCTTAGATTGTTGAAGGAATGGACAACCTTCCATCGAAGACATAAAAATAGAAGCATAATGGGACTTCCAAGATATAAGGCTTTTTGGAAAAATCTGAGTGCAAAGCATTTTATACTATATAGTACTGTACTATACAGTATATGTACTATCGAGGAGTACAGATAGTTCGGAATGGCTACGTAGTTCGAACTATCTAGCCCGTGCCGCGTGTAGCCGCGCGGCACGGGGTTCGCACTAGCCGGCTTTTAAAAATGGCGGCGCCAGCTTTATGCTAATGAAGCCCGGGAAATTCAAATCCCGGGCTTCATTAGCAAGTTCGGTATGCATACATTACCCCGCTAGTTCGAACTAGCGGGGTAGTGTAGACATACCCCAAAATACCATCAACAAATTACTCAAGCTCTTTAATTTTCGGATCTCTCCCACTTATGAGGATAATTACATCTGTTGGCTTCTCCCAATTTTCCCTAAATTCCTAGTAAGGGAGGAAGCCTACATTCATCACAAGGCACCTCCACAACTGCCACCCAGTCTATACAGGATATTTCTTTAAACTTCATTTAAATTACATTCAACATTGGGGAGCTAGAAAGTTCTTGTTTTAGCTATGCAGGGAAAAGTACAACTAAAATCTGTTCTCACAATGTTGTATTTTATAGGGACTTAAAAAATTAGGGTAAGAGAGGTATTTCTATGTGGAATTGTTTTAGAAAACATTTCAGTAGTAGGGATATAATATCCCATTTAACAGTCATGGCAAAACACAGTGTTTGACCATTTAACCGATTCAAGGGGAATAGGCAGGGTGGCTAGAGTAGGGGCTGTCGCTGTGGCTCCTGGACCCTCTCCCAAGGGGAAGCCCAAGTGAGGCTGAAGCAGCTCTCCGCAGGCGGGGGGCTACTCCTGGTTACCATTAAGGGTGATGCTTACCGGGTAACCGTTTAATCAAGTATTTGTTCACATTCCTATTTGGTATCTAATAAACATGCAGACTACTTTAGAACATGTTTAGGACTCTCTTTAAAGAGTATTCGAACCTAACTAAATTGCACATACTTAACGGTTTGGGGCAGTCATTTTTTTTAAATTATTTTTGAGTTATTGGTATATGTGTGCATTAACAAAACCAATTTAACCTGATTAACAGACATGCAAGTATAAAGGATCTTCCTTTTATTTATTGAATACAAGAGGAAGTATCTCCTTTACCAGTTACAGGAGAGAAAATAAGCTCCCACTCTTGAAAAATCTGCTCAGTTAATTTAGGTACCCATTCCTGGCCACTGAGAGCTCTAGGGGGCCATGCCTGAGGACGGTCAACGTAAACAAAACGTCTCATGACCTGCCAGCAGGTTACCCTGATGAGCCACGTGCCAAAGGCTGCTGACCCCTGAATTAGATACACAGGTGACCACATTTGGAAAAACATTCAGATATTTCTAAGTTCATGTCTACACTACTAGTGGTGGCAGATATGGTATTTGTAACTACATGTAGCAGTGAAAAGCAGGTTGCCTTCATGTTGTGATATGTTGCTACATGTCAATAAAAGGCTCTGGCAAGGGAAAGGCAGTAGGGAGAGGTTTCAGCAGCTCTCTGCTGGCAAACATTTTACTTCGTCCAGGAAAGGCTCTGGCAAGGACTGGAGGCAGGGAAAGGCTCAACCTTTCTCCAGGCGAAGGCTCCAGCAGAGGGGAAGGAACGTAGTCTTTTCCTGCTCTACTCACCTAAGCCATACCACTCCATCTATACTGCTATTTATCCCCATACTAGTGGAGCGATCCGTGTATGTACTCTGTATGCAGCTGAAAGAAGTGTGCAGTATGGACATTCTTTTAAACCTTGCACAGTATACCTGTTTAAGACATTTAGAGTACTAAGTATATAATATTTACAGTTCATAAGACATAAGCCCTGATTTTAATAAGGATTAGAAAGGAAAAAAGTTTCAAGTCATGAAGGTGGTGAGATAGGGGCAAGTTTCCATAAGAGTTTTACTTCTTAACATGAGAAAAATGAGAAAAATCCATTTTACATATTACTGTATATTAACACAAGGTGTTAACTAATTCCAAAGTCATCATAAACTAATTAGCTGTAAATAGAAATATAGGCAGCAAATATGAAAATCCTGCTGAGATTTTGTTTGAAAATCAATTAGGTACAATGTATCTACCTAATACACAGTTAAGTGTAACTGTGGTTACAGTTGCACAAGTTTCTAATATTGGTGATTTTTTTAAAGTCTCTGCTCCTACAGATTTACATATGGACATAGTTCCACTGATTCCAATGAGATTACTCATGAACATGAATAAGAAATGTAACCTTTATTTAATTCTCTGCAGGATCAGCACCTAATTTTGAAATGATAGTTGGTGAAGTATAGTGCCATCCTGTGGACATTCCATTTATTTAAATGTGAAGGCAGGGATATGTGAGAGAAAAGAAATAAAACACAGAATTTAGGAATTCTCCAAGACAGACACTGAATCTAATTTAATTTGCTACACTGCTGACATAGCAGTTAAAAAAAAAAAATCACAGAAGCCTCAGAATTTCTGCTTCTTCTAGAATAAAAAGGAGTTAGAATGCTGTTATTTACAGTACAATAAAATGCATGTTGAATATTTTAAATCAACAATTGAAATATTTTACATTTCCAAGGCATACCACTATATATCCTCAAACATAGTAAATTCCAATAAGAACTTCAGTAACTAGAATCTAGTGTATATCTGATTTCATATTTAAGCCAGAACTTCATAGTTCTGCTATATTTTGGGTAAAGTATATGTGGGCTTGAATAAAAGCCTCTGATTTGAATGTCCCTGAACTCTTGGGAAAATTGAATTAAAATCTTTTCGGTCTCGTGCCCATTTTTAGTTTAAAAGTATAATTTCTTAAAGGCTTGAGGAGCAAAAAACTGTTTGAAACACAACAGGATTTGCACATTCAACTTTAACTACCATTAATGTAAGTCACAAATGCACCTGGAAGAACATAACCCTTTAAGTTTAACATGATCAGTTATAGTATAGTATTAACAACTCTCTCTCTTTAAATAATATGGAGTTAAGTGAAACTTACCGCTCAGGTGACTCTTCATAAATGCTATGGCAATCTGTATTTTCAAGCATGAGACTTCTGCTAAGATTCTGCACTCCTGGGTAATGGAAATTGGCAAAGGAGTGCGACATTGGAGAGGTTTTATTTCCAAGGTCTGTGATACGTTTATCATGATTTGTTAATCCACATGACAGCCCATCTAAAGCAGGGTTTAAGGAACGAGTCATGTAAGCATCAGCTGATTGAGGCCGTCTCATTGGGGATGATGGGTAAGGAGAAAGCTTGCTGATAAGAGGCGTCAAAAGATCAGCATATGCAGCTTTTGTGGGCTTCAAGAGTTTATCAACATGAATATTAAGCATCTTTTGTTCAAAAGCACAAGAGAAAACAGAAGGTGGAAGATTCTGAAGCCAGGACAATAAACTCAGGTCCAAGTCATCACACCCATTACCACATAAAAGATCAATGCCAAGCAATACTTCACTTTCTGTAATTTCTTCACCTGTTGCTTTACTCTGACAGAATTCCACACAACATTCATAAAGCAATCCCTTCATTACAAGCTGAAATAAACGATTATTACTTGCTTTGAAACCAGCCTCACTTAGTTTCCTGTCTGCAGGAATAAACTCTGCAACCATGATGCAAGCTTCTTCGAAGCAATGAACTCGTGCAGTGCTAGGGTTCCAGTCTTTGAATTCTGCATGGTTGGTCAGACGGGGCAATGTGAGTAACAAACACAGTTTGCTATAGTCTTCTTTAGAAGGACAATATTCTTCCAGGGTATGTAGGCACTGTACAGCCTCTTGCATTGTAAACTCCAGCTATAGAAGAAATATTAAATACAAACAGGGCACAGATTAATTTAAAGTTACAAATTTATCCTTCTACCACAAGCACAGTGAGTTGCAGAAGGTTGACATGAAATAGGATTTCTCTGGTTTTTCCTTTGCTATTACTATAATTTTTATTTTAATTAAATTAGCATAAAGGGAGTCTGCAACAGTTTTCATATGAGAATTTCTAAGACCAAATTCTTCTTAAAGGACGCCAATGTCAAATCAGTTGATTAATATAATGAAAGTCATGCTGATGTGGCTATTTTCATAGAAGCTACCACATGTTTTAAGCTCTCAGAATTTTAATATCTGTAGCTGAACAAATTTGCTACAACTGTAGGTTGAGAAGGTATTTCCACTTTAGGGAGTTGAATTCTCTTTTCAGAGCTATAAAAATAAGATTTATTTTTTAAGAGTTCTTGTCTATACTTACCTTGAAGTTCGAATTAAGATATGCAACTCCAGTTATGTTGATTAGGTAACTGGAGTCGACATACCTTAATTCGACCTTTGAGGTGCTCTCCTCAGCGGGAGGTCGATGAGAGAAAATGCTCCCATCAACTTTCTTTACCTCCTTTCAAGTTGAGGAGTATTGGCATCGATGGGGGAGCCCTCAGCATTCAATTTAGCAAGTCTTTACTAGACCCGCTAAATCAAACTCTAGAAGATCAACCATCACAGGCAGTGTCAATCTTCCTAGTAGTGAAGATGTGGCCTTAGAATATTCAATTGGTGTAAGAAAATAAAGCCCTAAATTTCTGTAATTTTCAGTCACTGGAAATTGAGAAAGCTACTACAGCTTGAGCCTCTCTAGTCAACCATTCTTTGGTCCAGCAACATCCATTGTCTGTCATGATTTTAAGTTAGCCAGATGTCCACTTATAATGGGTGTAGCCAAGTTTCCTGTGATCCCATAAAGTTTGTTTACAGCTACCACTCCTAGTTCTCAGAGTTCTGTGCTGTTATTTAGCTTTAATTTACCCCAATTGTCTTCTAAGAGCCCACTAAGCAGTGGAAGTGTTGGTAATGCTGCTAGACAATATTGACCTCATGTGGTCAGCAAATTCTCTGGTTCAGCACCAGTCCAGTTCAAAGGGTGCCGAACTAGAGAGTTTCAACCTGTATTTGTGTTGAGGTTTTCCATGCTTATTCTCAGACAATATGTGATCTGTGTGTATAAAAACAAGTAACGAAAATCTCCATAGCTCTTTGCAGATCACATATTTAAATATACACTGGCGTGTTTGACATAATTTGTTGAAAATTAAAAACAGAAGACAAGCTTAAATGCAATACTAAAATTCAGATGTTAGCTGCAGAGAATGGGAAAAAAAACCTTCAAAGTTCTCCCCAACTTACATCATGCAAAAATAGGTAACATGACATTTTGAAATATCCAGCATAGTAAAAGGTGCAACTTCTTGATATTTTTGTATAATGTTCTCCATTAAGACTATGTAAATAATAGAATACTAGAACTGGAATGCACCTTGAGAAGTCATCAATTCCAGACACTTGCCCTCAGAGCAGGACAAAGCACTATCTCCTAGATCATCCCCGACAAATGCCTGTTTAACCTGCTCTTAAATATCTCCAGTGATGGAGATTCCACAATCTCCCTGGGCAATTTATTCCAGTGTTTAATCACCCTGACAGTGAGGAAGTTTTTCCTCTGATGTCCAGCCTAAACCTCCCTTAATGAAATTTAAGACCATTGCTTCTTGTCCTATCATCAGAGGCCAAGGAGAACAATTTTTCTCCCTCCTCTCTGTAATACTATGATTAGAGTGCTACATTATTCAACTGCATCTTTCTTCTAATCTTATATATATATAACTTTGTACTGCCCTCTGCATGCTGTCAGGTAAAGACCCTGTTGTAGGACATAGGGCAACAAGACAGTTCACTAAAGCAATGTTAATTTTTGATTTGAGCAATTAATATTTTTGTTAGAAACATTTTATATAAAATTCATAATGCTTTTGTAGTTGTACTTAAAATGTTCATATATGAACATAAAAAGCAAAATACTTTACAATGAATGAGCCTACAGCCTAAAAGCCTATTCATGCTATAGTTGTGGTTATCATTTAAAACCTTTTTCACACTAAAAACCTTATTCATAACTCCTCCTCTCAGCTGGTCATACATTCAATGAACTCAGTCCTCGGTGACATCATTTGTTTCATACTAGCAAAGGAACACTGAACAGCATTAGATCTTTGTCCATAAAAGCAACCATAGCCAGGGTACACTGAAGAACTTAAATTACACACTAACATCTGAATGGTAAAGGTGAACTTGCAATTGGAAATCTAATTGACAGGTCAAGATTATTGTTCCATTAAACTTCAAAAATATTAATCAAAGTTTCCTCTTTTAGGAGATATTGAAAACAAGCAAATATATTAAGGAGCTTAATAAGATGTAATATATTTACATATTCCGAGTTGTTAGTCTAAAACAGAGTGCTAGATGGTCCACTGAGTAGAGGTAAAAACCTTTCACCTCTGAAGTCCTCTCTTAGGCAAATAGTTTTCAATTTTTTTTCTCATGACACAATTGAAGAAAACTGTTGATGCCTGTGACCCAACATAATTTGACTAAAGTGTGGGCTCGGGGTGGGGCTGAGAATGAGAGCTTCAGCTTTGGGGATGGGGCAGGCCTGGGGCAGGAAAGGCTTACTTCAAGCGGCTCCTAGTCGGCGGAGTAATGGGGGAGCTAAGGTACGCTTCCTCCCTGGTCTGCCATCACAGACCATGCTACGCCCAAGAAGCAGCCAGCAGCAATTTCTAGGCAATGGGAGTGCAGACCTAGAGCTCAGGGCAGGAGCAGTGCACAGAGCTCTGTGTATTTGTCTGCCTCCGGCCTGCACCTAGGAGTCAGGCCTGGTACTGGCCACTTCTGGTGCGCAGCACAATCTATAGCCTGCCTTAGTACCCCCACTGATCACCCTTCAGTAACGAGACCCAAGACCTGACATTCTGCAAACAAGTACTGGGTTGTGACCCATAGTTTGAAAATCACTGTCTTAGGTGGTAAGCATACACTAATTTAGAGGGTTCAGTTTAGCTTTGCATATTTGCGCACATCATGCAAACAGTGCACTGTTTGACACCACTTGACCAAGTAATGACAAGGGCATTTTAAAGCTAATTTGGGGTGCACCATGCACAGTTAGAATTACACGGGCAAAAATTGCCCAGAATCTATCCAGTACTATTCCCAACTATAGTACTTCACTTTCAGAAAATGTTGTTGTTTTTTATGTCACACATGAAAACTTCAAGCTAAACAAATGACTATCATAAGACTTTAGGAACAACAATTCTTTACTATGGATTTCCATAGTGTCTAATCAATATGAGGTTTTCAACGAATCAGAGTAGCCAACTATAAAATCTTACATGTTGAGGCTCATCTTCTGCTGACATTGCATTGTTCACACACAAGGCTTCTAAAAATTTCTGCTTCAGAATTATATAGCGAAACCTGCACATAAGAAATAAAGTATAAAACACTAAAGATCTTAAAGCAGTAGCCAAGTAGTACATTCTGCAGAAAACTGAAGCTGGAAAGCTTTTTCTCTTTAAATTTAATAAGCCAAGCAACAAAAGAATTGGTTCTTTACAGAAGATGTCTTTTTCCAATGATTTACTTCTGGAATTATTACATGTTAAAATAATTGCTGATTTATAAGAGAAAGGAGAAGACTGTTAATATTTCTTGAATACCTGGGTTACTCTGATGTGAACTCAGAGAAAATACTTTTATTTTAAACTAAACACAATTCTTCAAATATAAACCATTATAAAAAAGACACATTAAAGAAGACTTTAAAGTCTGCAGTAAGTTCTAAAATACTTTCAAATAAAATATTTTAATGTAGAGACCTAAACAAATCTATAAATCCCTAAAATTGGAATGGTAAACTATTCTTCTCAGATTCAGTAGTTACAGTTTATTTTTCTAAAAATTTTAAAAAGTCTTATTCCAGATATTTTCCACCTTTGCACATGACTTATGATGCTACTATCCGAGATTCATAATTTTACCTTTTCTTGTCAAATTTTTCCATACACTCAAGAGGCTGAATGAACTGAAGAACCTCATCCCACTGTCCATCAAGGATCAACTGTCTACATAAAAAACAAGCCATCAATTAATTTAACAAGACATTTTTTACTTAACATTTTTTACAAATGCAATTTACAGCTTGATTACAGCTGACCAGTGAGCTTTGTAAAGTTAATGCTTTGCAAAGCAGATACAATCAGATTTAAAAACAGAACAAACATAAAACCTAAATTATTTCTTAATACTATCTTTCTAGTTACATATTCTTAACATCATGAAGGACAAATGGTAGATGTGTAGGTGTTTGTAAAGAGGTACACCAACATCTCTTTGGGAATCTTCTGCTTTATATGTTCGTAGGAATTGTTTTTCCAAGGCAAACAGAAAAGACACTATTCCAGGGGTGGCCAATCCATTTAACAAAGAAAGCCAAAACAGCAACAGAAAAAATGCTAAGAGCCGCATCAGAATTGTCAAGGAGAAAAAAAAAATTTTTTTTAAAGAGACGCTCTGACCCAGCACAGGGAAGCAGAGGCGTAGCGAAGGGAGACAGGGGCGGGGCAATTGCCCCAGGGCGCAATGCTAGGGGGAGCGCTGGGCTGGGGTGAGAGCAAAGCACACACTGCTCTGGCCCATGTGATGCTTTTGAACAGAGACCCGGGAGTTGGCTAAGTGCTCCCAGCTCTCTACACGCTGCGAGCTGAGGCAGCAGCAGCCACTTTAAAGCTTAGATTTGAAGGGGGCGCTCCCGGCACTGGGGGGGAGGCTGGCTCAGGGGGAGAGGTGAGTGCATTGGGATGGGGGCCCTGGTAGGGTTGGCTCAGGGAGGGGGGTGAGTTCATTGGGATGGAGGGATGCTGGGGAAGGGCTGGCTCTGGGGGAAGAGGTGGGTGCATTGGGGGTACTTATAATTTTTTTTTTTTTAAATAAAAGATACTTTATAACAAAAGGAAAAACTTAAAAAAATAAGAGTATGGTTACATTTTAAAGACTAACAAATATATAGATCAGGCATGTCAAACTTGAAGTCCATTGAGAACCACTCAAATGAAAACTGATAGCTTTCAGGGACACCAAAGAAAATGTACTTCTATCGGAAAGTTGTAATTATTTATTATTATAGATTATGTTTCAGGTATATTTTATAATATTTTTTCAGACCTTGTTTTAATAGAATACAATAATTTGATGTGTAAAAATGTTATTTACTCATAAAATAATTTTTAATTTAAATATAAATGTAAGGTACTTTTAAATTTTTTATATGATACATAACTTGTTTTGTTGAAATAAAAACAAGTAGAGAGCATGGTCAATCAAATAGAACAGGCTTCTGTGAAAATTTCAGATACTTTGTAAGTTTGAGATTTTGCATAAACATATGATTATTCATGCAATTTCAAAAAATTGACATATATTTGATATAAAATTAATATACGTTTTGTGATTTTATTTGGAAATAAATAAATAAAACCGAAAACATTAACAAAATATGCCCCTTCACTCCCCCAGAGCCAGGCACTCCCATATTCCCGTTCTAACCCAATTCGCCTCCATTCCCCCAGAGTACCCTCCCCTCTAACCCAATGCCTCCTCTCTCCCCCATACCCAGGCACTCCAAGTCCCTTCCCCCCATACCTAGTGACTGGGTCCCAGAGCCAGTGTCATTGTTGCCACAAATTTCTTCCTCAGGCACTGGGGAGGTGTGAGCACGGCAGCCAGCTGTGAGCAGGCACTTGATGCCAGTGCAGATCAGCCCGGCCAACCATGATCTGCACTCAGCCATGTGCTCTGAGTGGCCAGTGGGCCACACTTTATTCATTTATAAAATGTAGTGGCAGGCCACAAAAAATTTTGATTGGGCCACATGCAGCCTGCCAGAAGCCTGCTTTACATGCCTGATGTAGATGGTATCATGAGCTTTTGTGGGCACAACCCACTTCCACCCACGAAAGTTCATGATACCATCAACATAAGGTAGCCCTGCGACACCGCAGAAGAGGCGGGGCCTAAACAGGAAAGGGCGGGGCTACCCAGAGCATGATTGGTCTGGGGGTGGGGGAGCCCCTTTGCCCCCTCCTTCCCACTAGGCACCCATGTCTCTGGTAGGGCAGGAAGTGGTTTCGGGCACTCTCCCACCCCCAGGCCAATCAGTGCTTGAGGGTGGGGGAGCATGGGAAGCCTCCTCCTGCCTTGCGAGGAGCACGTGGTACTTGGAAGCGCTGGATGCTGCTTGCAGGGCAGGGGCAGAGCACAGAAAGCTTCATGTACTCCCTTGCCCCCAAGCTCTAATTGGTTTTGGGCCGGGGGAGCAGGAGGGCCTCCGTGGACTGGATCCGACCCACAGAGGTCCTTTTGCCTATCCCTGATCTACATATTTTGTTAGTCTTTAAGGGTATGTCTACACTAGCCCCCTAGTTCGAACTAGGGAGGCTAATGTAGGCATTTGAAATTGCAAATCAAGCCCAGGATATAAATATCCCACGCTTGATTTGCATCTTCCCAGCCGGTTGCCATTTTTGAATTTACAAGTCCGGACTAACTGCCCGCGTCTACACGTGGCAGGGACTCGGTATTTCAAAATAAAGCTCTAAATCGAACTACCTGTTATTCCTCCTGGAATGAGGTTTAACGAGTAGTTCAATTTAGGGGCTTTATTTCGAAATACCGGGTCCCTGCCGCGTGTAGACGTGGGCAGTTAGTCCGGACTTGTACATTTCAAAAAATGGCGACCGGCAGGGAAGATGCAAATCAAGTGCAGGATATTTAAATCCTGGGATTGTTTTGCAACTTCGAATGCCTATATTAGGCTCCTTAGTTCGAACTAGGGGGCTAGTGTAGACATACACTAAAGTACTACTAGATTGTTTTGTTGTTTTTTAATTTTTTGTGCTACAGACTAACTCAGCTACCCCTCTGAAGCTTATAAAAAATGGTTCTATACTATATCATTCCTTTTTGTCTCCCTGTTTCCTTTCTCCTTTGGCGAGTTGGGCAGGCAGGAGTGCTGGTGCACACAGTGCCCACTCTACCTCAGCTGGTGCTGGATAAACAGAGCCTCAATTCTAAAGGAGTTGACATTACTGAAGTGATAGATCACCCCATGTTTTATTGCAGATTTTCCATCTCCCAGTCATAGCAAAGACTTGGGATTAACGTGGCTTTCTCAACTAAAAGTCTTATACATGTTCGGATGTTGTGATTATGAACACCTGGAGAGGCAGTCGGCTCAAGGGAAAGTTGGCCTTGAATCTTGATATCTGTGGCTTCAGTTGAATGGCTTGTGTGAAATTTGGAAGAGCAGCTCAGAGAGACCTCTCTCCTTTACTTAAAGATAGAATCTTATCTTAAGACAGAAGCAGACCGTGAAGAACTTCAAAAAGATCTCACCAAACTGAGTGACTGGGCAACAAAATGGCAAATGAAGCTTAATGTGGCTCTGGGAGACAGACCCATAGTCTCCTATAGACAACCACCTAACCTCAAGATGATTCTTACCAACAACCACAGGACATACCACACTAATACCAACCCTGGTACCTTCCCCCTTGCAACAAACCCCGTTGCCAGCTTTGTCCACATATTCATTCTGCTGATACCATTATTGGACCTAACCAAGTGAGTTATAAGATCAAGAACACATATTCCTGCGCATCCAGAAATATAATCTATGCTATCATGTGCCGAAAGTGTCCGTCTGCTATGTACATTGGACAAACATCTCAGACACTTCGCCAAAGGATTAATGCCCACAAAACAGATATCAGACAAGATCACAAAGAAAAAACAGTTTCTTGCCATTTTAACCAGAAAGGACACTCTCTCAATGACTTAACCACCTGCATTCTGCTACAAAGACCTTTTACATCTGCACTTGAAAGGGAATCCTCTGAACTGTCATTCATGTTAAAATTCGACACTCTCCAAAAAGGAATGAACACTCAAGCTATCTCAAGGTCCCTCACCAAAGGCTCTTGTGTAAATTACATTGTCATGGGATAAGAGGGAAGGTCCTTCCATGGATTGAGAACTGGTTAAAAGACAGGAAACAAAGGGTAGGAATAAATGGTAACTTTTCAGAATGGAGAGGGGTAACTAGTGTTGTCCCCCAAGGGTCAGTCCTGGGAACAATCCTGTTCAACTTATTCATAAATGATCTGGAGAAAGGGGTAGGCAGTGAGGTGGTAAAGTTTGCGAATGATACTAACCTATTTAAGATTGTCAAGACGGAAGCAGACTGTGAAGAACTTCAAAAAGATCTCACCGAACTGAGTGATTGGGTAACAAAATGGCAAATGAAATTAAATGTGGATAAGTGTAAAGTAGTGCATGTTGGAAAAAATAACCCCAACTATACGTACAGTATGATGGAGGCTAATTTGGCTACGACAAATCTGGAAAGAGATCTTGGAGTTATTGTGGATAGTTCTCTGAAAACTTCCACACAGTGTGTAGAGGCGGTCAAAAAGGCAAATAGGATGTTAGGAATTATTAAGAAAGGGATAGAAAATAAGACAGAATATCTTACTGACCCTGTATAAAACTATGGTACTCCCGCATCTAGAATACTGTGTACAGATCTGGCCTTGGAAAGGGTTCAGAAAAGGGCAACTAAAATGATTAGGGGTTTGGAATGGGTCCCATATGAAGAGAGGCTAAAGTGACTGGGACTTTTCAGTTTAGAAAAGAGAAGGGGGGATATGGCAGAGGTATATAAACTCATGAGTGTTGTGGAGAGGGTGAATAAAGAAATGTTATTTATTAGTTCCCGTAATAGAAGAACTAGAGGACGCCAAATAAAATTAATGGGCAGCAGGTTTAAAACTAATAAAAGAAAGTTCTTCTTCACACAGCGCGTAGTCAACCTGTGGAACTCCTTGCCAGAGGAGGCTGTGAAGGCTAGAACTGTAACAGAGTTTAAAGTGAAGCTAGATAATTTCATGGAGGTTAGGTCCATAAAAGGCTATTAGCCAGGGGGTAGGAATGGTGTCCCTGGCCTCTGTTTGTCAGAGGCTGGAGAAGGATGGCATGAGACAAATCGCTTGATCATTGTCTTCGGCCCACCCCTTCTGGGGCACCTGGTGTTGGCCACTGTCGGCAGACAGGCTACTGAGCTAGATGGACCTTTGATCTGACCCAGTACGGCCGTTCTTATGTTCTAAAAAGTCCTCATGGCAGACAGAAAGCCACACTTGCAGGGTATCCTCAGCCTTAGGCTACTTGTTGCTTCAAGTGCCTTCAAGAAAGCGAGGGTGATTCTTGTATTGTGTGTGAGTTTTATTTAAAAGTTTTTCAGAGTGTTATTTTAACAGGTAAGTGAATTTCTTACATTCATAGCTCTCATGTAGTTTTATGCTGTATGATAATGTGAAAAACAATTAGGTTAACTAGGCAAGTAAATGGGCAGTTAGGAAGCATTACAGATTGCCTACAATAAATGTATTAGGTATTGTGTTAGTCTTTAAAGTGCTACGTAACTTTTTTTCTTTATCAAGATCAGACTAACATGGCTACCTCTCTATTACAATAAATTTGATATGCTCAAAATCTTTTTTACTTTTTATTCATTACAGCAATGTGTTACTCATTTGCTATAACAGTGGTTTTAAATGCTTGAATGAAATATAGTGATTAAATTCATATTTAGGTTTTATAATATTAATTTATCTCGTGTTTTATAAAACTTACATATTTAAGACATGAATCTAATGAGAATGGGATATGAACAAATTAAAGAGAAAAAATTATTTAACAGAATGTGAACCACAAAAGTTTATAATTCATATGTCTGTAGTTAGTAAAATAAGTAATTCATTACACAAATATCCTAAGAGGTGGATTATTTACAGTGGTGTAGTGAGGAGGGCATTGGGAGGAGGGGGAGGGGAAGTGGCCCCTGGGTACCATAACTAGTGAGGTGCCAGTATAGTCCCCCTACACGCCCTCTGTCATCCCTCTGCTCGCCTCTTCCTCCTCTGCCCACGGCTGGAGCTAGTGCATGTGGGACCCAGCCCCAAACTGAAGGGGGTCAGGTAAGACACGGTACAAGCTCCCCCCACTCCTCTAAGGGTCGGGCTCAGCTGTGTGCCAACTTCGGGGCCCCACCAAGTTTGGGGCGTGGGGGGCCCCAATTTTGCCTTCGCCCCCGGGCGCATAACACCCTCGCTACAGCTCTGCAGGAGTGGCTCTGGGAGCCGCAGGTTGGCCATGGCTGCACTATTCTATCCAAAAAGTTGGAATAGTTGGCAGGGATGCATTTCAGCCCCATCTGCCCTTGGAAAACCTTTTTTATATATATATCTAGAGATAGTATCATGACTTTTCATGGGCAAAACCTACTTCTTCAGATGAGGAAATGGGTTTTGCCCATGAAAACCTCATAACTCATACCTATATCTATATCTAGGTTAGTCTCCAACGTGCCACAGGAAGTTTTTAAAAGTTGTTTTTAAAGTTACAGACTAGCACGGCTACCCCTCTGAGACCTTAAAAGCCTACTGACATCCTAAGTGCTTAAATGCTACATACAGGACAATTTACAATGGAGAAGCAATACTTGATGAGAGTAAATGGTTATAGCAAAAATGTCACAATGCTTTTCATGGCTATCAACTTTTTTGGCTAGTGAACACATGGCAAACATTAAGTTAATTTTTGTTGTACAAATTATATCAAAACAACAAGACATATCTGGTGCTACTCAGATCTTTTCTTATTGTTTATTTTTGACAAATAAAAGGAAAACGTACATGCTTCATTTAAAACATTGCTCTAGGGTGAGGCGGAGGATGAGGGGTTCAGTATGAAGGCTGCCCAGGGAGAGAGAACTACCTCAGCCCTCTCTCGCCTCAGCAACTTGGGGCCAAGTAAGAAGTGCCTCTCTGTGAATCTGTGCACTTTTCCCTTGGAGCTTCAGCCCTACTCACAACCTTTCTAAAGGGTGGCTGGACGGGGGGGGGGGGGGCGCCCTGGGAGGCTCAGAGCCAAGGCAGCTTCAGATGGGGGGAAGCATTCTTTTCACCAGCCTGATGATTCTATCTCTTTTCTGTATGGTTTATGTGAAAAAATCCCATTCCAGACACATCCAAACCCTTTCATTGTTTTAAGTTATGATAAAAGGAAGCTGTATACTAAAGTTGGTGAACCTAGCTCTTACCATTTAGGAGTTCTTGGACAGACAGACAAAACAAACAAACTGAAAAACTCTCTCAAATATATAGTACATTTCTACCTCAAAAAAAGCATGTCATCTGAGAACAGGCCATTAATGACTCCGCTTTCCTTCTCAAGAGCCAGCATACTGATATGTAGTTTCTTTGAGTTCAGGAAATCTAAGATTAGTTTAATTATTTCAACTTCTTTTACATTCACTGTTTCTTCAGCAGTCATGATGGTAGCCTAGAGAGAAAAAAACAAAAGTAAGTAATATTGTAAATATCTTGTCTTATGCCTTGTTATCAAATGTTTTTGACCAGAGATTGCAAATAAATGTTTGTTTTGACCATACTGAATGTTGTAATACTGTATTCCAAAATTGGTTATTAGACCTTAGGAAATCAATCAATCTCATACATTTGAATGTGCAGGTATAACTCAGACTTGATCCTGCAACTGTAACTTTCCAGTTGTACCCCGACTTCATGAAGTGTCCCACTGAAATGAACTGATCAAGAAACACTTTTTTTTCTTGGCTATTCTGAAACAGTATATGGTAAATAAGCCAAGGCTTCCCATCCTTACTTTGTAAGGAGGCCTATGCCCATTGCAATGTTTTATGAGGAATCTAAATGTCAAGTTTGACAACATATTTTACTGAGATTTCTGCAAACAGATCAAGACTAGGGATGTAAAAAATGATTAACAATGTAATAGTTAAAAATCTTAGTGATTACATACTATGGACTCTGCAGTACAGCCGCTCTCTGTGTTAAGAACAAGTTATGGACCAACACTTGGTCCATAACTCGAAATGTTCGTAACTCAGACCCCATTGAGTTACATGCGACCGCGCTGTTCGTAAGCGCAGGTCACGTTCGTAACTCAGGGACTGCCTTTAACTCGACCGTTTGTAACTCGGAGAGTGGCTGTATAAAGCTTATATTGCAGAGCCTGCAGTGAAGCCAGCTCCCAGGGAGCGGAGACAGTGCGCGCCAAGAGCTGGCTAATAAGCTGGCTCCCACCAGCTTCCAGCCTCCTTCCTAAGAAGTCAGCTCCACTGCAGGCTATGGAGTATAAGCTTTATACTGTAGAGTCCGCAGCACGGGGTGACAGCCAATTCCCTGGGAGCAGGGCCAACAGCTGGAGCCACTGTGCCCCAGAAGCCAGCTTATGCACACCAGTTCCCAGCTAGGGATGTGAATGGGTAACCAGTTAACCAGTTACCCGGTACCTGGAAACAGCCCTCTGCCCACAACCAGCCATAGGCAGAGGGTTGTTCTAGTCCCATCGGGGCTCCACACAGGCTCAGGAGCTGGCATCCCTGCACAGGGCCAACAGAACCCACCTGCCTATCACAGCTGGGCAGAAGTGGCCCCCTGCCCGCTCGCCCCTTAATCGATCCCTATTCCTGGGGAGATGGCTGCAGCCCCACACTGATACAGAGCCAGCAGAGTAAGGTGGCAACCAGCTCCCGAGGAGCGGGGCTGGAAGCTGGTGTGTAACCGTAACAGAAACCAATAAGCATGAGTTTATCAGTTAACTGTTTGAACAGTTACACTCTTACATCCCTAGTCAAGACCCCTCCACTGAAGCGTGCACCAGCAATAGGCATACATCTCTATTTGCAAAGCTGTGATAATTTCCTAGTTCACTGGCTCATTCTTGCAAGATGCTAAATACCTTAGCTCTCTTGGATATCAGTTAGGTTTGAGGGTTCTCAACACTGTAAAAAATCTGATTTTAGAACAATGGCTTCCAACCATATTCCTTTGGGTGCTTGCTGGTGGACTGTAGAAAGCTTGCAGATCACATAGTATCATTTTTTTTGCTCTTCATTGCAAAAACAATCCTGGAGCAAGTTGTAAAGATGCATCTACATTTCAGTGACAGCGAACCTCCCAGCCTGTGGGGCTCAAACTGGAGCACTAACCTTAGCAATGTGGACATTGCACCTAAGGCACTCAAGCCCACATCATTGCCTGGATCTCTGCTGAGTCTCTGCAAGAGCCTCACTAGAGATGTAAAATCTCATTTCACTGGTTAACCATTTAACTGTAATGTTTAACTGGTTAACTGATTGAAGGGGATGCAGGTAGAGGCCCACTTGGGCTGAAGAGGACCTTCCCTCCCCCCGCCACACCCAGGCTGGAGTGCCCTGCCCTGCCCCATCCCGCCCCAAGTGGGGTCTCCTCCATCTGGGCTGGAGTGCCCTCTGTCCATGGCAAGTCCCTCAGGGGGCAGGGAGCTGCTCCAGCTCCCATCAATTAACCGGAATCAATTAACCATTCATATCTCTAATCTAGAATACTATTTTCAGTGTGCCATCTTAAGTCCTACTAGCACAAGTTCATCTACTCAGGCTCAGAGGCTCACTCACAAGTGTAGACCTGGGCTACTCAACATGTGGCCCATTTGTTTGCAGCAAATGATGCAGTTTGGGTTTACGTGGGACTCAACGCGTGGCCTGCAGGTAGGATCCTTTGAACATGTCCTCCACTTGGAACATGCTGCACAATGGTGAGGAGTCTCCTAGGTGGGATGAGCACTGAAAGATGCAAGTGGACGGGCTGGCTAGAACAGACATGTATAGGATGAGGAATGCCAGGGCATTGTGGGAAGTGCTGGCTGCTTAGCCTTGTGGGCAGAACATGAGAAGTGCTGACTGGCTGTCACTGGCCACATTTGGGTCCGGTGCCATGGCTTAAGGCTTAATCTCTGTATTCATGCCTGTCAGTGTGAAAGAAGCTATTTGCATATATATTTGCATGTATACACAACCACACTTAAGTCATGGCCCTAGGCATGTGCTGTGAGTATCACTGTGGCCACCGAGGCTTCCAAAGTTGAGAATTCCTGGTATAGACCAAGGGTTCTGAAACTGTGCACTGGGACCCTCAAGTGGGTTGCAACCCCATTTTAAGGGAGTTGCCAAGGCTGGTATCAGACTTGCTGAGGCCCAGGGCTGAAGCCAAAATCCATGCTCAGGAACAGGGCCGTTGGCCCCTTGCCCATGGTGGCAGAACCCAGGCAGGCTTAGTCTTTGTCCTCCCTCCCCCACACTCCAGGGCATGTAATATATTTTGTCAGAAAGGGATCACGGTGCAATCAAGTTTGAGAACTGCTGGTAAAGACATATCCTAAAAGCAGCAGACAACAAGAGAGGAAAGTGAAGCTACTCTCAAGGACTGGAGGCATCAGTAGGAAACAATGTCCAGGGAAACAGCGGCAAAAAGAGACATTGGCTGGTCTGCAGAAGACAAGAGGCTAATGTAGAGGAAGAGAAATATGAGCAAAGGAAGAGAAAACAACCACAAAGAGAGAGAAAAAAAAGTTGTCTGAAGTCGGGTAGTACTTTTTTCTTGTCATTTCAAGAATGAGAAAAATACAGTAGATCTAAAATATGAAACACTTTTCCAATATTACTTTTCCACATAAGTAAATATTGCAACTAGGAGGTTAAATGACTGCTAGCAGGAAAAGATGTAAGATGTGATGCTGTGATGGATAGGAGGAGTGAAGTGCTGGCCAGCACTCAGTGACTAAAGGGTTGAATTCAGGTAGCTAAGGATATTGGCAGGGAGCCAGAAAACTAACGGGATACAGTGCTGAAATGTAAATTGTAAATATATAGCTGCTGCCATTTCTCTGTGTGAGTATTTTTTTAAACCAAAAGCAAAAAAGAGATGGCATGATTTAAATCCAGGCTGGACCACCATGCCTCCAAGGAATTCGGAGCATGGAAATGGACTGGACCATGAAGGGATCATGAGTTAATAAGGGGAAAATGTATATTTAGTTGTGATCTGGTTATTTCTCTTTGTTTTGTTGTCTGGTTAAACTTCTGTGTGAAATTCATGTGCCTCCCTTCCCCCATTCACTATAGCTAAGCTGTCCCAGAAATACCATTTTTTGTGTGTGTGTGTGTTTTAATCTGCTCTTTTCTTAGTTGCTCTGTTAACACCTAGCAACCAAGTATGCTTTATCAAGTCTATATTTTTGTTTTAATAAAATCACCTTTTTAAAGGCGATGATTTGATTCTTGTGTCCTGGAAATAACAGGGGGTGGGGCTGGGGGGTGCATGTGTGCACCTGCCTAGGCTGAAGCTCATGATACCATCTACATGTATTGTTAATCTTTAAAGTGCTACCAGACCATTTGTTGTTTTTTAGACTGAAGAGTCAACTATCAAGATTGCCGTTTGTTTCCTGTCCTTTTGTTGTTAAAGTCACCTTTTTAAGGTGATGATTTGGTTCTTGTGTCCTAGAAGGTAACAGGAGATCTATGTGTGTACCTGCTAGCCTAAGAGGGGAGCTATCAGAGACACAGTTTTTCTGTGTTTTTTGTTTTTTCACGCTCTCTTGTGGTAAAAGAGCTTGAGGTACCCCTTGGGAAGAAGTTCAAGTTTTCAGGGTTTTAATTCAATTGATGATGGCAGCTTTTCCCAGTGCCAGTGAATCTGTGACTCTGGGGAGTTTTTGTAAGCAGAGCCTATATATACACAAAGTATTTATTAAGGTCTCTTGCGGGACCCCACCTTCCGCACGTGGCATGCCAGAGTGGGGAACAGCCCTGACAAATGCATATTCTAGAGGGCCTCCATTTAGGAGCAGTTAATTGCCAACCTACTTCTACTTTGAAAGTACTGAATAGTAATCAAAAAGCAAGAGAGAGAAAAAAGAAGTTTGCTATATCAAGTTTAAATAATCAGTTTAGCTTGATTTTCCAAGTAAAATGTGTTATGAGGAATTAGTGAACAAATGAACTATTTACTAGGCACACTCCAGGGGAAAAATGAAAGAATAAATACTTGAATATGAAAGCTCTCATTGCTCACAGTAAATGTATGCTGCTCAACTCTAACAGATTAGAGAACTCAGCTTTTTTTGTATTATACCTCTTAAATCATAGCACTTTCCATATTCCTCCTTTAGCTATATGCAAGTTCTCTTTAACTGATTTTTCCCCAGAACACCTGACTGAAAAATTATTCAGTTAGTTACCTACTTTATTTTGGAGCACTGTACAGTTGCTTGTGCCAGCTAAAAAGAAGGCAGGTTATTCTAAACATAAAAAGTTTTAATTCATGTTTTAGTCACAGAAGGCCTAGTCATCATTAAATATTCTGGTGGCTTCAAAGGCAGGCAACCATCATTTATTTAGGTATATGCTCTCAGCTAGCAACACTGAAAAAAAAAATAAGAGTAGGTGGCTCAACACATTTTATGTAAATAATGAAAAG